GTAGATACTCACGGAAGATATCCATTGTTGGAGATGCTCTAGTATTTCTGTCCAAGAGTTTGAAAAAATTCCCTGGTGACAATGTTTTGGAGTGATGGTTTTTAGTCTTTGGGATAAAAGAGAGAGAAAAAAAGACATTTGTGAAAAGAAATATAAAGTTTGCGAGATATTCTTGTGAACTACCGATACCTCTATTTGTTTGTTGTCAAAATCAAATAATTAAATTTCGACGTATGACGATCGCGACCTGTATGTCCTGAATTAATTCGATTCTCGAATTCTTGTGGATTACGTGTGTGAAGTACGGTGGGTAGATGACGTCTTAATTTACCATGAGAATCATAGTAGACAACTGTCGAATATTCACAATTTAAGATGTCTTTTTGCAACATTAATTACACGTTAACAGAAATAAAATAAAATTAAAGGTTTGGTGGTGACCTTATAGTTTTGAAAATAAGTTTTCAAAATCACTAGTTTAATTATATTAAAAATTAATTATATTAAGTTTTAAATACGATATTATTGATGTGGCTTCAAGCATTGAACGATGAGTTGAAAGTTTTGAACTTTCACGATTTATAAAAATCTAGTATAAAGCAAAAATATTTTTAAATTTTAATAATTATATTATATATGCTTTTCTGATACTTTTGGGAACAAAAAAAAATTGAACAATAGTTCGTTAAAGGCGAGGGTAAGCTGAGCTGCTACATCTCTTCTTCCGGATCTTCCTTTATTTTTGTCGTGTTATATATTTATATATTCATATACTTTAATAAAAATTTATTCATAAACTATAACAATCCAAAAAAATAAGATGGTATTGCTTTTGCTTTTTCTTTATAATACTGCTGAGGAATGGCACACGAAAGGAGTGAAAGCTCAAGCACTTCAAAAATATTTTAGGATCCAAATAAGTGAAATATCACTTCAAAAAGACTTTCAAATATTCTAACCGCGTTAATGCGAGATTAGAATATTTGAAAATAAAATTTTATGCGGAAAAAATTAAAAATAAAAAGATCAAATTGTATATCTTTCATATAATTAGATAAATATATTTTATTTTACAAAATTTAATTTGTATGACATTTATATTGAATATAAAAGTTTTTAATATAAATCAAATACGTCTGAGATGATATGTTCTCTTAAACTTATTTGAACTCACCAAACCCAAAAAATATCGAGTTAATATGTAAATTTTCTT